AAGCGGGGCCGGCGTAGGGCCGTGGCGGGGCCGACGAGGTCTGGGCGGGGCCGACGAGGGGCCGAAGTGGGGCCTAGGCGGGCCGGCGGGGCCTAAGTGGGGCCAACGCGGGGCCGACGGGGCCTAAGCAGGGCCAACGCGGGGCCGACGGGGTCTAGGCGGGGCCGACGCGGGGCCAAAGCGGGGCCTAAGCGGGGCCGACGGGCCTAAGCGGGGCTACACGGGGCCGACGTGGGGCCTAAGCGGGGCCGACGGGGGGCTACGCGGGGCCGACGTGGGGCCTAGGCGGGGCCGACGAGGAGCCGACGGGGTCTAGGTGGGGCCGACGCGGGGCCTAAGTGGGGCCGACGGGGGCTACGCGGGGCCGACGAGGGGCCTAGGCGGGGCCGACGAGTGGCCTAAGCGGGAGCACGACGGGGAGGGCGACACGGAGGGTCGCTAAAAAAAATGCGCGCCTCGGGGCGCGCTTCGGTGGGCCCTAGGAACAGGCCCTAAGAAGGGACCTGCTCTGATTCCATGAGAAAGTGTGAACGAGAATGAATGACTATGAAGTGAAGTGAATACAAATAGGAAACCCTAATTGTGTTGTACCCCCTATGGGATACCCCACTATAGCCTACAGAAACAAGTAAGCTATATGGTCTGACAGTAGGGTGCAGCGGCGGGCCGACCAGGTGAGGCGGCGGGCCGTAGGGTGCAGCGGCGGGCCGGCAGGTGCAGCGGCGGGGCCGTCAGGTGAAGCGGCGGGCCGCTGGGTGCAGCGGCGGGCCGGCAGGTGCAGCGGCGGGCCGGCAGGTGCAGCGGCGGGGCCGTCAGGTGAGGCGGCGGGCCGTAGGGTGCAGCGGCGGGCTGTAGGGTGCAGCGGCGGGCCGGCAGGGCCGCGTCAGAGCCGGCGGCGGGGCCGCGTCAGTGGAGGCGGCGGGGCCGCGTCAGTGGAGGCGGCGGGGCCGCGTCAAGCAGGCGGCGGGGCCGCGATCAGGAGGGGTGGCGGGGCCGCGTCCGAGGGACAGCGGGGTCGCGAGGGAAATGGCGACCCGAGGGGTCGCTAAAAAAAAGGCGCGCCTCGGGGCGCGCTTCGGTGGGCCCTAAAAAAAACGGTCCTAAGGAAGGACCCGCTCTATACCATGTGAAAAAAGTGAACAGGAATGAAATGACTAAGGAAAGATTGGGTACAAATACAACCCTAGAAACCCTGTACCCCATATGTGCTACCCCACTATAGCCTACAGCAAATATGTCATATAAATCTGACAACATTTTCATGAATATGTTTTCAAGGTCTAGTCACATTCCTCGTGACCTCCACCAGGTGTGATCTACAATGTCAAAATGTATAGAAACCAACATTTGCACTCACAAACATCCTGAGAAATGTTGATCGGGTTAGAAAAAACATTCCCGCCTCCCATTTACAGTCTCATTTTCTGCGCGTGGCGACAAGGTCTAGGTATGTGAAACGAGTGAACACATTCCAGTCCCATGCCCGCTTACGTGGTGCGACTGTAAAGAACATCCATTGTATCAATCCCTTTTCCATCCCGCCTTCACTCTACAAACCGCACTCACCACTGGAATAGTTAGGTGATGTTCGTTTATTTTCTAAGTGAAAAGAACGAGCCTTTATGGCGTATTTTTGTTCCTTTCGCGAGTGAGCTTCGTTAAGGCCGCAACAGCTGGTGATAACTTCGATTGCACGAAAAGTGCCAATCCGTGGCTCTCTGCGGGTTTTCTGCTTTCGATCATTTGACAGTTGCCCAGATTTAACAAGATTTGCTGATGCGACTAGTCAGCGATCTAAGCGATGCTGCGACACATACGGACAAATTTCGCACCCTTAGGAAGGAGTCCATTTGTGACCTAAACGGCACGATTTCGTTACAAGGAGTCGCAAGAATCCCCGTCCATTTTTGTGTGTGTGTGTGTGTGTGTGTGTGTGTGTGTGTGTGTGTGTGTTTTTTTTTGTTCAGGTGTTGACGAGAATCTTGATTGAAGTGCGACACGGGGTGGATCTTGGTTTGCCTTCGCAAGCTTTGGGTCAGTTTTGAGATGTAACAGAAACTGTATATTTGAGCTTATTGGAGAATGTCCACCTACCCTCCCCGACGTGGCATGTATGGGGGAAGCATAGACGGAAAGTCACGACGGTCTTTAAACCAAATAGTTCGATTTAGACTTCCTAACGTTTGGATTGGCTGTAAAATTCGCTGAGTTCGCCTCAAAACAATGTGACAGTAGTGGGGAAACTTTATAGTTTACGATCGTTTTTTTTTTCACATCATGAAAATATCATAAATTATTTGGATCACAACCCTTTTTCTGTCTGGTGAGCAGTTTACATGCATTCTTTGTAGAACTTTACAGATGTTTCCTGCTTTCTCTTTAAAGTACACGATCGAACGGACTTCAAGGATGGGGACGTCGTTCTTGTTCATCTGCAAATGGATGAGGTTACTAGTGATAAAATATTTCGTGACTTTTTTTTTTCGAACGAGTATTGGTGTACTGTACGACCCTCGGCGTGTTTGGATTGCAGCTTGACATTCTGTACATCGTTGACAATTTTAGGGTTGACGATGTCTGTTTATGGGCATACGACTGGTGCCGATCTTGACGGTAGTCGTACCATCGCTCATTGGCCTGCAGGGAACGAATTGAAAGCTGACCTATGCACACACCACACACCAAGGGGACCTTTTCTCTCATTTCCTAAGTCACCTATCAATCAGAATGCGTTATTGCTTGCACATTGCACAAAAGTCGCGTTCAGGTGAGGAGATCGCTGACTCCCGTCAACACCTGATGGTTGACCTTTGAAACCCATACAGTGCGTACGCTGGTTGGTTACTGTGCAGCTCAACAAAATCGGCACGTTGGGTGGGCATGGATTTTGCCATGTGCAGGACTGCGTGTGTTGTAAAACTAGCAGTGTCCGACTCGCTCGCAAAATCAGGCAGCCCTACCAAAAATCACCCTTTTCCAATTTGCCCTGCTCGAGCGCGGTACTATGTACAAGATCAGCCTCACATTCCCGTCATATCCCAATATTCCAACAGAGTACTTGCAGAATAGTATTCCAGTTGAGTTTTTTTAGACATCCTGCTGACCGCTAAAAACTGGCTGTTATCGTGGACCTGATTCGAAGTCCACGCATCAACCGAATCGGTTGACAGTCGTTAGCACCATATCGCTGTCAACTCTTCCAGCGGGGAATAGACGTCCAGCGGTGCAAAGAAAAGCCGCATCCAGCTCATTCCCCGGCGCATTCGTCGTACTGTACCCACTCTCAATGCAGCAAGGACGGCGGGAAATACCGCATAGGCTCAGTTCGTCTGAATGCGGTTTAGGGTAGCTACCCTAGGGTTTCAGGCATATCGATAGACTGGGGCACTCCAAAAAAATGACCGTGTCCCAGAACCTATCCACATTCGGAAGGTACATCGAGAAAACTTTCGAAGTTCTAGATCTCGCCTTGAAGTGGGTTCTTCTTCAGGCTGTTGCTGGTTCCGTAGGAAGTTTTATACAGGCTGTTTGTTCACAGATAGTGTGCAATATCGCTACTCTTGTCCCCTCTCCTCTTCATTCTTCAAAGCTTCCGAACTCTTGAGTGCAGTTGGAGCGCGACGCTGAGCCTACTACGGCGAACTCCAGACGAGTTAACAATGATTATGCACGTTTCCTTTCCAGCGAGCGAAGATCATTCCGGCGAGGAAACCTCCTCGTACAAGCTGAATGATCTCACTTCGGCGAGGCTGGGAGAAAAAGGTAATGCGGGCGTGCCGCAGAACCTCTGCAACGGATCTGCCAGATCTGGAATAAATGTCGCTCTGAAACAGGCGATCCTCGCGCTAGGAAATCTTCTCACGCAGCTTCTGACGGACAGGCTGCAAAAAGCTGACGGAAACCGTGAACTTGACTGGCAGCCATCCGCCGACCCACCTCCGGCTGCTTACAATAGCCCTAAACCCACCTTGTCTGCTACAACGCTTGGAGGTCCTGAGATCGACTCCTGCGGCCAGGCTGATAACGGGCAGATTTCTGAGCAGGAGAACCAGTCTCATGGGCTCGAGACGGAGTTACTTCTAAATCTTGCCCGTGTTGCAAGAATCTTGACCCCTCAGTTGCCACCAGTTGCCTCTACTAGTACCACTCAGAATAGATTCCATTTTGCAGTGGATTGGCCGCAGGAGAAACACAGACATAATCGACGCCGCAGGTCGTTTGGAAGAGGTTTTAAGACACCTGCTAATACTCCTGGACGAAGATCACGTCTGTCACAAGGGGCTGAAAAGACAGCACAAGCAGAGGCAGGAGCAGCAGCAGCAGCGGAGGAACAGACTGCATTGCAACCCCAAGACCAGCAAACCCAGAAACAGCAGCAGCAGCAGCAGCAGCAGCAGCAGCAGCAGCAGCAGCAGCAGCAGCAGCAGCAAAAGGAGCAGCAAAAGGAGCAGCAAAAGCAGCAGCAGCAGCAGCAGGAGCAGCAGCAGCAGCAGCAGCAGCAACAGCAACACCCCCAGCAGCAGCAGCAGCAGCAGCAGCAGCAGCAGCAGCAGCAGCAGAAGCGCAAGTCCCCACCTCCCTCTACTCCTTTCCCCAAATACCGTGGAGTGCGGCAGAGAAAGGCAGGCCACTGGGTGGCAGAAATAGAAGACACAGCTAAAAATGTGCGCAGGTGGCTCGGAACATTTTCCACTCCCGAAGCTGCTGCTCGTGCATTCGACAAAGCTGCCCGAGAGCTCCGTGGGCCTCGGGCAAAGACGAATTTTCCGCTGCCCAAGGAGGAGGCGGGCAGTGGTGGAGAGATGGATTATAACAGGGAGAGGGCTGTAAGGAGAAGGCTTCCTAAACGAGGTGTGGATGTGCGTGGAGTTTCTGGTTCTGCTGGTGGTGATAAGTACGATCAAAATGTGGGTGGGATGTGTCATGGTGGTGTGGGTGGGGAAGAGTCGTCATGCCCTAGGATTGATGCACCCGTGGGGGAAGGGTCTTGCAATTTCAGCATGAATGGATCAGAATCAAGAGGGGAGCCGGTTTCTGCGAGGAGTGTGGATGGGAAGGAGCAGGAGAAGTGGGGCCGTGAGCAGGACAGAGAAGAACCCGAGGAGGAGAGCGCGGAGGGGAGTGGGGAGGAAAATGATGGAGGGAAGGATGGAAGGGAGGATGAGGATCATTATTCACGTGGATTCTTCAAGAATCTAGATTCGTTAAGAAGTGCGTGTGCAAGTGCAGGGAACATATGCATGATGGCTCTCGACTCAAGCGAGAGTGCATGTGCGGCTGCAGGTATTCGCAACGGAACGGCATGGGCATGTGCTGTTGCGGAAGCAGCTTATCCTTCTCTTTCCAGCTGTGAAATCACGGCTCCTAGCACCCAGCTTGCTGCACCTGTAGATCGAGAGATCGCACGCGAAAGGCGCTTGCTGCAAGAGAAGGGACTGGAGATGAGGGGAGCAGGATATTTGGCAGCTTTGCTTGGGGGGGATGCCCCGACTGCCTCAGATATTTCAAATGGAGAGTATTTTCCGCTTGGTGATTCTCTTGAAGAGACACGGATCGTGGGAGGAGCAAGCAATCAGGCACCGCTGATTAGGAATACCCCTAATGACCTGGTGATGGCATGTGAAGAGGCACGGGTTGCGGCAGGAGCAAGAAAGATGGCTGTGCTGACTGGGGAGTCCTCTAATGCTCCAGAGATCAGAGCCGAGCCTTTGCTTCGTGGGAATACTCTGGAAGAGGCACGGGTCACTGCAGGAGTAAGCGATCTGGTGGTGCTGATTGGGGATGAACTCGAAGGGGCAATGGTCCAGGGAGGAGCGGATGATCGGGCAGGGCTAATCGGAGATGAGTTTGGTTTTCCAAATGACTTCCCGAATGGCTTCCCGAATGGCTTCCCAAATGGTCACACAGAGAAGATGCCGCTACGCTCACGTGGCTTTGGATGTGCAGGGAACAGGAAGCTGGCAGGGCAGTCTGGAGAGACATGGGAGGAAGGGGGGCGTAGGGAGAAGGCGTGGAAGGAAGGAGAGGAAGTGATGCAAGGGGATGCAGAGGAGTGGGATGTGGTTCCGAGCTACATCCAGAAGGTTGTTGCTGCTGCATCTTGTGAGTCAGGCAATGCTGAGATGGACACTTGGCTACTGGAGGACATAATGCCGCTTGATGGATGACTGCAGCATGTGACTATGGAGGGTGTGGCTCCAGAGGGTGTGACTTTTAAAGCTGTGACAGCAGTGGGTGTGAGGGTGTGACAGCAGGTGCTGCAGGATAATGATGTTCAGGAATGAAGCACCACTAGCTGCTCTGGCAATGCTGGTGTTCGTGTGTCTGTGTGGGGAAGCTGAGTCAGATGCAAAGAGACTTTTGAGTCAACTGGGAAATCACCCGAGCCACATGCAGGGGGTTGCTGCTGCTGCACGTGCTAAGACAGACATTGCTGGGATGGACTCTTGGATGCTGAAGGATAATGTGTCTATTAATAGGTTGACTCTAGAGGGCGTGACTGTGGAAATGTCGCTACACTTAGCGTCACTGTGCAGGGTGTTATTGTGGAGGGTGTGACTTTAGAGGGTGTATCAGCAGCAGGTGCGGCAGAGGATGATGCTGTTCGTTGCCTGCTATGGCGATGATGTTGCTGGTGTGGCATCAGAGAAACGCTTAGTTCCTATACCTTGTACGCCCAACTTATATAACACCGTAGTACAATATCTACACACTTGCTTAGGGGCCAAGATTGCAAGACTTATGTGCTTCCAACACGAAAAGCCTCCATGAAACTCATGAGTTCTTTCCTCCGTGGAACGAAATAAAACATATCCAGAAAGGTAGCATTGTGTAGCACTGGGTAGAATTGGATAGCATTAGGCATCACTGGTTAGCACTGGGTAGAATTGGATAGCATTAGGCAGCACTGGTTAGCACTGGGTAGCACCGGGCGGCACTGGATAGCACTGGACAGGATTGGATGGCGTTGGGCAGCACTGGATAGCGCTAGGTAGTACGGGCAGCACCTGGGCAGAACTTGGTAGCGCAGGGCAGCACTAGGCAGAACTTGGTAGCACAAGACAGCACTGGGCAGAACTTGGTAGCACAAGACAGCACTGGGCAGAACTTGGTAGCACAGGGCAGGACTGGCCAGAAATTGGTAGCACTCGGGGGCACTGGGCAGACCTGGGTAATACTGAGTGGCACTGGGCAGAACGGGCTACCATAAAGCGCATTGGGTGACTGCCATATGTATACAGTAGTTTGAAGGCAACGGTGCACAGTCCTGGGGGTGTTTTTGAAGGAATAACGTTAGTGCACACCCTGGAATCCAAACTTGGCTGGCTATCCAACCAATTTCATATGGAGATTGGGTTGGGGAACTGCAGAAGGGCTGAAACTAAGTGTATGGAGCAACTCTAAATACTATACCCGTAAGGTCGTTATGGCCGTTTCCGCTTGAAGAATATGTTATGGACAACCCGGCGCACTGTCAACATTGATTTTCAACGCAAACACGAGCATGAACATTTCGCAAATTGAATGAGTTTAGTCACAATCAAATCACTATAAGGGTGCGGTTTAAACATGCATAACATGAATTTCTTAACAGAAGTCAATGCAGGAAAACGGGTTTGGGAAAGCAGCTATTGGAAGTTAAAAACCTATATACAACCCTTCGTTTCAACACTTAACCTATTTCATAACTATTCACGCTGGTTAGAACGTGCCATCGGGTAATTAAACACATAATTTGCTAAGTACTAATAATGACTATGTACTTGTCAAACTGCTATGCTCTATGTTGTGTAGGCTGTAGTGAGGTAGCCTATATGGGGTACAACCCAATTAGGGTTAGCACTTGTAACACTTTTCTGATTCATGCATTCATTCCTGCTCGTTAGTTTCTGATATGGTATTAGAGCAGTAGATCCGTAGGACCGTTTTTTTTCGGGCCCACCATTACCTAGTGATCGACTGCGGTTACCGCGCTATCCAACGTCCTGCCCTGCGCTGCGCTGTCAGCGTGCACCCTACCCTGCCCTGCCTTGCGTCACACTGCCCGTGCACGCCCTGCCCCACGTTGCGCTGCCCCGCGCACGCCCTGCCCCGCGCACGCCCTGCCCTGCCCCGCGTCGCGCTGCCCCGCGCACGCCTTGCCCTGCCCCGCGTCGCGCTGCCCCGCGCACGCCCTGCCCTGCCCCGCGCACACCCTGCCCTGCCCCGTATCGCACTGCCCCGCGCACGCCCTGCCCTGCCTCGCGTCGCGCGCCCCTGCTGTACGTCACGCCCTTCCGCCCCTGCTGCCTGTCGCGTTGCCCGTGCGGGCTGCCCGAGCCCGTTGCGTCGCCCGTCCGCTCTACCCCTGCCTGTCTCGTCGCTCGTGCGGACTGCCCCAGCCCGTCGCGTCGCCTGTCCGCTCTGCTCCTGCCCGTCGCGTCGTCCGTGCGGGCTGCCCCAGCCCGTCGCGTCGCCCGTCTACCCTGCCTGCCCGTCGTGTCGCCCATCCGCCCTGCCTGCCCATCGCGACGCCCGTGCGGGCTGCCCCAGCCTGTCGCGTCGCCCGTCCACCCTGCCCCTGCCCATGCGGGCTGCCCCGGCCCGTCGCGCCGCCCGTCTGCCCTGCCCCTGCCCGCCGCGTCGCCCGTGCGGGCTGCCTCAGCCCGTCGCGTCGCCCATCCGCCCTGCTTGCCCGTCTCGTCGCCCGTGCGGACTGCCCCAGCCCGTCGCCTCGCCCGTTTGCCCTGTCCCTGTACGTCGCGTCGCCCGTGCGGGCTGCCCCAGCCCGCCGCGTCGCCCGCCCGCCCTGCCTCCCCGTGTGCCGCCCCTGCCTACCTGCGCGCCGCCCCTGCCTGCCCTGTGTCGCGCCACCCCGCGCACGCCACCCGCGCGCCGCTTCTTGCAGGCCGCGCGCCGCGCGTATGAGCCTGCGCACCGCTCTACTGGCAGCGCGCCGCCCTTGCAGCCCGCGCGCTGCCCCCTCCCCTTGCAGCCCCGCGCGCCGCCCTGCTGGCCGCGTGCCGCCCCTGCCTGTCCGCGCGCCGCCTTGCTCTGGCCTGCGTGCCGCCCTTCCTTGACCGTGCACCGCCTCGACCTACCCTGGTGCCTCCTCACCGCCTTGCCTTCCTTGCGTGCTGCCCTACTGGTCGCATGAATTCTCTTCACGGTAGCGGTGGGAGTGGTGGCGGCCGTAGAAGCAGTCGCTGTGGAGCTGTTCGGTGGGGAGTTTCCGGCGGTGGCCAGATGCAGCTGAAGTGGCGTCCGCACGAGACCCTTTTCCCCAACAGCTACGTGAGTGGTACGCTAGTAGGAGTGGTGGCAGCAGCAGTAGTGGGAGTTGCTGTGCAGCTGTTCAGTTGGGAGTTTCTAGCGGTGGCTTGGTGCAGCTGCAGCCGCGTCTGCGCGAGACCCTTACGCCCCAGTAGCTTCGTGAGTGGTACGCTCAGCGTGGGGCGTCTCGGAGTAGTGCTCACTACCCGTACGTCATTTGCACAGGTGATCGGGCGGGTCAGACTTGCGGGACAGTTGGTCATACATAGTCCCGCTACTTCTCCTGTCTGAGCGACACCTGGCGCGTAGAGTTTGGCGACTCGGCTGAGCTTTCCCGTTGGCTAGAGCTGCTTAGGCACGGTGTGGATATCTTTGCTCTAGACTATCACGGTATCCTCACTGCCATGTATGCTTTGACTATTGGTACTGAGGGTGACTGTTACCTGTATGTGCTGCCCGACCCTGGTATAGAGGCTGCTACTCTAGGTGCTGGTGAGGCTGCTCTCTCTGGTATTGCACCTGCTCAGGCCTTGAACACCTTCACGCTTGACTCAGGTGCTTCCCGATGCTTCCTTCGCGACAGCACCGCAGTCACACCACTCGCATCACTGGTTGCAGTCTCTCTGGCTGACCCCTCTAGGCGACCGATTCTTGCACGTTCCTCCACTGTTTTCCCGTGTCCGACGGTCCCGTCTGGCTCACTGTCAGGTCTTCACCTCCCCTCATTCTCTACGAACTTGGTGAGTAATGCTGTCCTTCAGGATGCTTGGGTTGATACATTTTACCCATGGAGGACAGCGTGTGGTGATCTGCACGTGTGCACGGACGGCCCGTCACCTGGCCACGTTCACCTGTCAGCTGGGTCGAGCCTGTACACAAGCACTACTGAGCCTCCTCAGGTAGCTGCGTCTGTGTCCACGTCAGGTCAGCAAAGCAGCCCCCTTTTCGTGTCGCCTCCTGCCGCACCAGACTCTCCTCTGGCACCACCGCCTTGGTCACCCCTCCCTGCCACGCCTCCGTGGCATGCACTCCCACCTCCTTGTCTCTGGTCTTACCAGGTCCCTGCCTCCCCTCCTACCCTCATGTGAGAGTACGACGGCTTATGCCAGCTATGCTTGCTTGCCTTTACTTGATCATGCTATTTCTAGCATAGGATAATTATATACATGCATGAGTTGCTTGATTTCCTAGGCTAGGTGCTTTCCTATATTTTATTAGAGTTATAGCATTGAGCTAGGTTGCGTGCACCGAATTCTGGCTTTTCGGTTGCCACCGAATTGCCTTCTACCGAATTCGATCTGTCCGGGACGCTTCGCGACCCGCGGAACCTTCGCGTAACACCTGGTTACGAGGCCTTGTGTCGAGCCTATATATAGCCTTGTGTTGTACCCAGGTGATCATTCAATTCAATTCAATTCATTCAATTCAAACTCTCTTTTCTGAGCTCGATCCTAGATCCTCACACCTCACCTGCCCCTCCTTGCCTTCCTTGTGTCGAGGTTCGGCAGCGTGCCGCTCCTCACTCCTCCTCGTTTCCCCCGACGAGTGCTCCTATGCAGACTCTCCACATCGTCGGTCACGAACGAGCTTCTTCTTCCGCCTTGAGCCAATAGGGTCAATCTTTTGGAATTCCAAGAAGCAAGAGTTGGTTGCTCTGTTGTTAGCCAAAGCAAAATACATCATCGTAACCGCTTCAGTTCGCAAAGGGTTCTATTTGCAAGAGCTCCTACAGGAGGCAAAAATCCCACCTTTGCTGACATTTCGCATCCACTGTGAGAACCTGAGCGCGATCAAGATTGCAAACAACCACGTCTTCATCAATCGAGTGAAGCACATCACGCTGCGATATTTTTTTGTCAAGAACAAAATCGACCAAGGGAAAGCCGATCTGACGTACTTCCCCACTACTGACATG